AGCTAGAAGTCAGTCTTTTTTAATAGATGAAAAGTAATTTGATTATTTGTTTTTTTTTCCAGTGACAACAAAAAAAAATATTTTTAATTTCAGGAACATTTTTAAAACACAAGATGTGATGTTTCTGATACGCTTCAATCAAAACTGATGTTTCACAGAGTTCTGACCTGGAATCTCTGTTTCTGAGGTTGAATTTGAACTCGGACTCTAAACGAACCCTGAGGTCAGACTGTACTCATTAAAACTTGTTCTCAGAAGCTCACAGTCCGCTTCAGCTTCACATTTATTCATGTTCTCTTTACAAAAACACTCTCAGTCAGGATGTTATTAAACATTTTAATGAATGTAAGATAAATTAAATATTTAATCACAGTAGAAAATTAACATATTGAGACAAGCGCATAAAACAAAGTTTTTTAAAAAGTAAGACGTGGAAAAGTATAAAAACAAACATGTTTGATAAATATGACAGAATAAACAGACAGCGGATAAAGTGTCGCGAGACATCAGCAAACATGTGAACACTGTTATTCTGTAAACACACAGCACAAATGCTATTGTTGTTGTTGTTTACTTCACAACGGTTGCATTTCATCAGAGTTAGGACTGATGGAGACGGAGCAGCACTGATGTCATAGCAATGATGTCATCAGCGGCTGATGATGTCACTGAGCACTGTGGGGAGCGTCCTCTTCTTCATCTCTGTGGACATTTGACACCAGACGCAGGGCAGACAGCAGGTGGAGCACAAACAGTCTCTGCACAGGGAGCCCTGGACGCACAAACAATAAACAATAAACAAACACAGCAATGAGAGGAACATTAATCACTAACAAACAAACAAACAAGCAAAAAACAACAAACAAGCTGCCCTAAGCAGGCACAGAGAGGAACTTCAACCAAAACATACACGCAAGCACAATAACTAACTAACTAGCTAGCCGTGAATTCAGCACTCTAGTCGAACAAACAACAGCCCTGAATGCAGCAAACAAACGGTTTAATGTCAAACAAACACACAAACAACAGCAGATTTGTTTACTTCTGTGCTGTTAGCAAACAGTTGCTCATGACGATGCAGCTTTGTGTCCCTACCTTGATGCCGTAGCGCCGCCGTACGGAGGTCCTCATGGACATGGTGATGGGCGGGATGCAGCCGAAGATGTCCAGCAGGGGGAGGCAGAGACACTGACCGAACTCTCTGGTGGTTATACAGGCGAAGCAGGGACAACACCAGAAGGCAAAACAGCCTGTAAACACAACAACAGCAACACACTGACTCAATCGACTCATACTTGAATGGAGTTTGGTGTGGACTAGCCTCAGCTTTTTTACGAGAGTGAAATGTGCGTTGCCTACACTGTTTCATGTCGTTGCAGCAATCGCAGATCCCTGACGACCAATCACCTTCCTCGATGGAAGTGCGCATCGCCTCAGGCTGCATGGACACCGGCCAGCTCATCCTCCACCTCAAGCTGCTTCACTCAGTCCAGCCTGACGGAAGTTAAATTAGCCATAATGTGAAAGGAGTTTGGTGCAGATTCATATTGTCCTACACATAAACAGTAAAATATTTAAACTGGAGTTTGGTCTGGATTCATTAGAGCTGCTTAGAAAAAAAACAAAAAAAACATGTCAGAATCAATTATTATTTCTTTGACAGACATGGAGACTGATGTTAAATGAGTAAATATCTGAATGGAGTTTGGTGCAGTTAGAAAATACATGAAAGGAAATGCAATAATATTCTACATGTAAACTGACTAAACAGGCAAATATTTGAATGGACTTTGGTTGAGACTGTTGTGAGGAAACAATCATGAACTTTGGTGTGGATTTTCAGCTGCTGCTCAGAAAATACATAAAAGCTCTAACAGCTGCGTTCATTTACGGTTAACGCTGCCGGAAACCATTACACAACGTCACAGGTGCCTGAACAAACAACTGCCAGTAACTAAACAAACAAACAAAACCAAATACAAAGCCTGCTGAGGTTGAAACCCGTAAATCATTTCAAGTCCTGTTTCTGTACAAACATATAAAGTCACTCAAACTACACAAGAAGAAGAAGAAGAAGAAGAAGAAGAAGAAGCGACAGGTGGTTGTCTTACCTGTGTGAGTGGTTGACTGCTGTGATTGGACGTCTGTCATTAGGACGGAGGTTTCTGAAGAACCTGATAAACGCGTTCGGCTGGATGGTTTCTTCTTGACGACACCGAGCTGCTCGCTGACTCATCTGGTTGATTTTTTATTTTTGAAATCCTCAGATTCCAAAAGAAAACAGTTCACTAGTTATCATTTTTTAAACTATAAAGCTTAAATGAAGCCGTGAAACATTTCATTCTGTACTTTTTTTTTTCTTCTATTGACACAGTTTTAATGTTTGCTAGTGATGGTTTTAGTTTCGTTTTATCTCTGTTTTGTTTTTCCACTTTTATCTGAAGTACTTCATGTTTCATTCTCAGATCGCAGGACAGAAACACGACTGTTCATCGTGTTTCTTTACGAAGCTGCTGTTCAGCTTTCGGCCACCAGGTGGAGACAAACAACCACCACACGTTAAAGCTGCTGCTCACCTTTCTGTCTTATTTACATCCACAGGTACAGATTCAGACAATTTACAACAGAAAACAAAGCAGGAAAGAGACAAAGTGTTGCATAAAAATTCACCAGAACGAAGGAAATCAAGTGTTTGATGCCAGACAGACGTTAACGTAAGAAGTTTTGGTCCTCTCAGCAGCAGAAAAGCTTCTGAATACCCATTTCTGGAGAACATTTTTCAAAAGAGATTAAGAGAAATGCACGATAGTGAGATAAAATCCAAATTTACAGATTGAGATAAACCTTTGAAGGTGCAGCCGTTATTTTTTAATGGTTTGTGTTGACATAATTATGTTGCATCGACTTAACATTGTCTGTGATAGTTGATCTAAATTTAGGTTGGGATACCTTAATGAAATTAGCTTGATAATTAGTCATCCACTTGTATTTGTAATTGTGGGAGAAAAGTACACAACACTTCAACTTCATTTTTCAACTTAGAAATGTGTGTTTCTGCTGCAACTCATTAAGTAAATTTAAAAAAATCCAGATTCCTGCGACTTCAGTTAGTTTGTTGGTTCAACTTAACTTCAGTGGAAGTTGTCATAATAAAAGATTGATGCAAACTGTTTGATTAAAGTTTTATTAAATTAAATCCTGAGAAATACATAAAAATTATTCCTGTGAGGAGTCTCCAGAATGGTCGTCCACGTTGCTGTCCGCTGTCGTCGAATTGGAATAAAGACAAAATGGCCGCCTCCAGAACTCGGCATGGCGGCTTTAGAACCCTCTGATAGGACGTTTCCCACAGCAGCGCTCTCTGGGGTTTGTGGTCGGCATCTCTCCTGACGTTCTCCTCGTTTTCACAGTTTGTTCTGACTTTCATGTCCATGTTTGCAGCTCGTCGCTGCCCCGCCTCCAGTGGGTGGTGAGTTTCAGGGACAGTACTCATAGTCGCTGGCATCGATCTGGTAGATGTTCTCCACCGCTGAGCCTCGACTGTGGAGCTGCAGGGTGGACGAAGTCGAACTGAACTGGGCCAAAGTGCTGATCTGCCGCTGAGGACTGAGACAGAACAAAACACGGAGACTTATTTAACGTGATATGGACCAGCTAGAAGGTATTTGTTCCCAAAAACGTTCTGGAAAATTTCTGCAAAGTTCTGCAAAGTTCTGCTAACATTGTCAGCGGAAAGTTTTCTTTTAGAATGTTTCTATTAAAGATCGGACAAATAAAGACGTTCCAAAAATGTTTAGTGATAACATTGTTAGACCGTTAACGTTCTCAAAACTGAATGTTCCACTGAGAACGTTCCACTTTCGTTATCGTGTAATACTGTGGGACATTGTGGGAACGTTTTCCCACAAGAACATCCCCAAAACATCCTTTGGACATTGCAGGCAGAACGTTCCATCATTGTTAATACATCACACTATAGGAACGTCTTACAAAGAACGTTCTGTCATCTGAGGTCTCGATAACATCTGGAAAACATTTTTTGAATGATGGTTTGAAAATGCTTTTTCATTGTTCTCGTTGTGGAAATGTTTTATAGAAGAACGTTCTATAATGTGTTCCCTCAAAAAAAAGGCAAAAAGTTCTACCTCAATATATTACATTACAGGAACGTTGTTAAATGTTTCGTCTGTAAAACATTCTGTCATTTGAAGCCTCGATAACATGTGGAGAACATTTTTGACTGTTGGTGTGAGAATGTTCTTCCTTTGTCTTCGTGGAACATTGTCAGAATGGTTTATAGAAGAACGTTCTATGTGCTCTTCAGTAACATTCTCACAACATACTCAAAAATGGCAGCCAGCATGTTCCACCTTTGTTAATATATCAAAGTGCAGGAACGTCTCATAAAGAACGTTCTATCATCTGAGGTCTCGATAACATCTGGAAAAGGTTTTTCTAATGTTGCTTTGAGAACGTTCTTCCTTTGTTCTCATTGTGGAAACGTTTTATAGAAGAACGCTCTATAATGTGTTTCCCAAACAACACCCCCACAACATCTGGAGAACATTGCAGCCAGAATGTTCCACCATCATAAGATGTTCCTGCACTGTGATGTATTAATGAAGATCATTCTATCATTTTGAAAACATTTTTTGAATGTTGCATTGAGAACATTCCTCCTTTCTTTTAACGGAACATAATCTGCATTTCTGACAACGTCCTCTGACATTTAACACTGAAACATTACATTAACTTTAAAGGAACATTACTGGAAATGAAAATTTCTCACAACGTTCCTGGAATATTTGATAAAAAAAACATTCCCTTTAACACATTCTTAGAACTTGTCGGTGATGTCAGCGATGGTTGTGGGAACGTTTCCTACCAGCTGGGAAGAAGATGGATTTTGATAACTGATGGTTTTTGTTGTTTTCGAGCTAAAACAGTGAAACAAAGTGAATAATTTTCTGATTCCAGCCTCTCAGATGAGATGATTCGCTGCTTTTCTTTGACACATTTTAGTATGAACTGAATATTTTTGCATCTTTTAGAAGAAGTGAGCCTTACACCATTGGGTTTGTTGGGTTCTTCAAATGCACAAGCATCAAACCTTTCAATACGGTTCAAGAACAAACTGCAGAGCTTCCGTTTATAACTAGACGAGTCTTTAAAGGTCACTTTGTGTCGCTCTGAGCCTTTGTTGGACCGAAGGCGATTCCTCTGGTTAACCAGCTGCATCATCAGCGCTCAGCCGACGGTTCAGTTTCTCACGTTAAGATTTGACATTTTCAGAGGTTTCTCGACAGCTGGATGACGAATGGAGTGGAAACCTGAGAGTTTCTATTTCTACTAAAAGAAAACATGCCGGACAGAAAAAACCTGCAGCTTCCAGACACTTTCTGAGAACTTCTAGTCCAGTAGGAATAAAACTCTGGAGGCTTCAGGTTTCCCCTCCTAAAGAACTAATCAATGAAATTACTCTAAATTTTGGTTATGTTTTTGAAAGAGCCCTTCAGAGAGGCTTAACACGTCACTAATACGCTGCTCGGCTGCTGTTCAGCTGAAACTTGTCGTGTGGTTTGTGGTTTGGGAGGTCTTCTCTCATTGCTGAGTTTCAGTGTGAACACTCGCTGAAGCTACGATAAAGACGATGACTCGAAGGTTTGCAGGCTGAGAAAGTTTACGAAGCTGATCCGTCAGCAGAAGGAGGCCGATCGACTTAAACCTAAAGCTGCCTGTAAGGAGTTTACCCAGAAAACATAAAGAAAAGGACTGCAGCTCACGATTATCTTTACTGCACATGGATTTGATTAAATGATAGTTAAAAGGTAAAAACTACCAATCAGGGATTCAAGGTCCAAGATGGCAAATGTCTCGTTTTGTTAACAACACAAATATGTTCCGTAAAGATTAATTAAGTGAGAAAACAACTCAAATAAGACAAGCTTAAATGCATATGACCTACTTAAATGTTCTTTATGATAGAATTTGAGAATTTTACCAGTCTGGAATCAGAAAATTTTGGCTTTTTTTTCTTTAAAAATCTCTCAAACTGCCGATTATTTCAATATTCGACAACCAATCGATCGACTGAACGTTTCAGCTCAAATGAAGAAGAAGTTAAGAAGTGAACGAGCCACTCACATTTTGTTGAGTCGCCTCCATCTTCTGGCTGCAGACACAAAAACAGGAGAAGCGTTAGTGCAGAGAGAAGTTTACTGTTCAGAGCTGCTTTAATTCACATTCAGGACGTTTTAAACAGAGAAAAATTAAAATCAGTGAAGCAAGACGACGAGTTCCTGTGTGCAAAACCAACAACACCGAACCTGCAACTATTTCCACAACTAATAATTTCATCTTGACTTTTTGCACCATAAATATTACATATGATTTTCTACATTTTTTTTCTTTTATCTGAACAGACTCTGTTCTTTTCATGTTTAATATTTGTTTATCTCAGTGTGTGTGAGCAGATACTAGTGAGTTTGAATGAGTTAATCCTTTAAATAGTTTAGGAATCTAACAGAAGCCTTTGAATCCTTCCAGCTTTTACCAAAAACCTACAGATTTGCTTCCTTTTCTTGTCATGTAAAGTGATATTTTGAGGTTTTTGTCATGCAAAGAACAGCTCACGCCTCGGCAAGTTTCAGTTTTATACAAATACATGCAAAACCTTGTAAACAGAAACAAAAGCGAACCTGTTAAATATATGTTTTTAAAAAATTACATTTTTATGGCTCAGCAGTAACAGTAAAATACTTTATAAACAGAGATGAAATCATGTTTGTTCTGACCTGGTTAATGGTTCAGTTTTACTCAAGTATAATGAAGTGAAAGTGACATGTGCCCCACAGCCAGTGAACGCCTCACATGACCTCCATCACTCAGACGGCAGTAAAGTGAAAAGGCCGATTTTAGCTTCAACTCACCGATAAAGAAGAGTCCGCTGGCGGTGAGCAGAACCACGAACACACACAGAACACACACCAGAACCACCATCACATTGCTGTCCTCCTGTCAACACACAAACACACACACAAGGCTTTGAAATAAGGAAAAGTTTCGGTGTTTGGCTGCAGTTGGCGCTTCAACTTGCTTCGTCCTCTTGCGATGCTGGACTCGTAGCTGCAGCATTTAGTGTTTTGAAGCTTAAGGAAAAACTCTGAGAAGAAACACCATCAAGATCTTTGGTTTTTCCATAATTAGACTGGAGTTAAGTATTGTTGTAGAAAGAAAAACAATCAAACTAATAATCAGTTATCAGAAATTAGGTCAACATTATGACTGGCAGTAGCAATATTTATATCATTACTCATATCTTTTTAAACTTGTTTCATAATTTCTACTTTTATTGCAGTTGTGAGGTCAGAAGTCTTTCTCATGGTGGCCCTTTGCTGACTAAACTCACACAATGCTCTCTGAAAGATAAGAAAAACACCAAATATGGCCAAATGTCCCTGATTTAATCTCATTATTTTCACACAATACAATGATCATGCTGCTGCAGACAGTCATGACTTTAGCTACACGACTTGGTACGACATATATACATATAGTAGCTGGGATGCTCTTTTCACTACAACCAAGTCAACATTGAACTACTGGTCAGAGGTCATTAGGCGTCACAGAGGTCATTGGCACAGTGTCCCTTTACTAGCTACTACTGATGTGCGTATCGATACTGAAGTATTGATACTTCTGATACCAGATCTTTATGCTCTAAAATCGATTCTCAAATCAAAGTATTGATACTTTAGATACTTCAGTCAGGTCATGTTAATCATTTAGAGGAGCACAGTGGAAAGTAACTAAACTATCAAGATCTTGTCTAAACAACACGCGGTTGGTGGGAACTACTTTTTCTTCCGCCTGGGTAAGTGCGTATTGCGTAAGTCCGTCAGTCTCAGTCTGTTGACACAATGGCAGAGTGTAAACGGAGTCAAACAGCCAAGATGTGGTTTGTGATGTTCGTAGGTGGCGCTGTTGGTGGAACTGTGGTCCGAAATCTGCAGCCTCCTCTTGTGGTCGTCTTTGTCCTCTGATATGAACTGAACTCTTAACTGTTTGCGGAACTGAAACTCATACTTTTGTTCGTCTCACCTCGACGCTGCCGACGCCGCTGGACGAGGACGTCTGGTGGCTTTCTGTGGACGTCATGTGACCTGCAGGACGAGGAAGTGAAAAAGATGTTTTTAGGACGGCTGTGTCAGCAGCCTGATGTCATGATGGAGGACAAAAGCCTCCGAATCTTCTGAACACAGCAGATGCTGGCGTCAAATCTGACTCATACTGAATCTGACGTTGGATGAAAACTTGGAAGCGTCGCTCTGAATGTGCGATGACTAATAACGTTTTTCCGCAGAAATACATCATCGCTTTGGTTTCTCTCTAAGCATACTGACTCTGAAACTTTGTTTTATTCGCAACGCACAGTTTGGTTTTACTGATCTAAAGCTTTAATATGAATCTAAACTCTTCCTTCACAAACCTGTATTTATAGGAACCTCTTCACTCTGTACTTTATTTACTGTTTTTGTCATTGTTTAAGCTACGTCACTACAAATATCAAAAACTATCAAAATGCCTTCATTATCAGTTATCAGAAATTAGGTCAAAAGCATGAGTCACAACACCAACATTTATCTTATCACTCATATTTTTAACTCATTAATTTAGAATTTCTACCACTCTTGCAGCTTTGAAGTCAGAAGTCTTTGTCATGGTGTCCCTTGACTAGCTAAACTCCCACGATGCTAATTTGCATTCAGTATCTAGTTCATCCTTAAATAGAAGAACATCAATACATGTAGATGTGTTACTAAAGGCAAGAAATACAAAGAAAATATGGTTGAATGACACTGATTTTACTTTCTTTTCATTTTCACACAATATCTGATAGTTTTATCTGTCAGTGTTGATTGGCTGACCAATCAGATTGTGGGCGGGACGCTGCAAATTAATTTTTTCAGGAATCTTAAAGAAACTACAAAAATGCTGGAAACCTGCTCAGAGTTGTGTTGGTGCTGGATTACCTGCAGTCTGACTGGTTGCTGTCGACTCTGTGGACGT